ATATATATTATACATAAATTCGATATATTTATACATTTTTTACGAATATTAAAACGTATTATTACAGTATACAATTCTATATATAAATTTCTTATAGTGACTCTTTTGTAAGTTTTTAAACGTTGTGAGTTTCAAGTAATAAAAGAATCAACTTTAAAATATAATAACTTTTTCTTCTACATGTTTATTATCTAGAATTTGATTATGAATTACTATATTAACTTGTTTTAAGTTTGTCACTTGAAATAAATAAATTCTTTAAGTTTTCTCTTCTAAGTCCCTAACTTAAACCTTTAAAGTTTGTAAAGTTAAGCAAAATAATTCCAAGGCATTTTGGCTATCTATTGAATATGAGATTTCCTAAGATTGTAAAGTCTGATAATAAAAAACTTACTTATTACAGTAAAATAACTTAGTAGAATTCATATGCAAAGAAAATTATTTCTGATGACAACAGAATTTATATAAAGAATCATTATAATAAATTATTAAATAGAATTTATTTAATAAAAATAATAATAAATCATTAAACAAAATTGTTTAACGAAATTTGTAATAATTTGTTAAATAGACTTCTTAATGAATTATTTAATAAAATTTATTTAATGAAAATTAAAATAAATCATTAAATAGAATTCATTTAATGAAAGTTGTAATGAATTGTTAAACAGAATTTATAACAAATCAGTTTGATGAATTTCATTTTAATTTGTTTAAATAAAATTTGTATAATAATTTGTTATAACAAATTTCATAACAAATCAGTTAACAAAATTTATTATAATTTATTTAAATGAAATTCATATAATGAATTATTATAACAAATTTCATTATGATTTGTTAAATAAAATCATATAATAAATTTCATAATGAATTGTTCAATAAAATTTATTATGAATCATTATAGCAAATTTCATATAATTCCTTAGATAGTATAGTAAATAAATTTATCTGTGAAATTAAAAAAATGATAAAATATTAAATATTAATTTAGTAATATCATTATTATATAAAAATATATTTTAATATATATTTTATCAATTTTATTAACAAAGATTTAAGTTTTTAAAAGGTTTTTAAATAATTTAATTTTAAAATTAAGTTTCAAAAATTTATTATAATAATTTTTTAAAATATTTTAAAAATTTATATGTTTAAGGAAGTGATACATATTATGTAATTATGGGGGTTCTTAAATATCTCACCTCTCACGTGATCATTAGATTAGCCAATCATAATAAAGAAGTAAAATAACTATAGTTGAATCTCACAATTCGTTATAATGAGAAAATTCAGCAATATTTTAACAATTTATTCATTATATAGTATACTGAATATCATATCTAAATTCGGTATATGATAATAAGTTTGAGAAGTAATGTAAAACAAATAAATATAAATAATAAATAATTAATGAATTAAAGTTACGAAGGAATGCTTGCTCTTAACCAGATATAGATTAACCTATAACTGTTGATCCTGAACATTACGTAGAGGTGGCAAACTTCATTCAGGTTTTTTTAACGGAATTCAGAAAAAAATTTATAAAAAAAACTGAGTGAAAAGGGATAAACGAAGATAATGGAAAAGATAAAGGAAAGAGAAACTAGTTAAATTATGAAATATGAAAAAAGAATAAAGGTAGTTGAAAAAAGGAGTGATAATAGTTGGAAGACAGATTATTGAGGGTTATGTTAAGTTTTGGATTGAGAGAATTAAGAGAATTGAGAAGGAGGGTTATTTTGAGTTTCAGATAAAGAGGATTGAGAGGATTGAGAGAATTCTAAAAAATTTAAATTTAAATTTGGGTTAAAATAATATTAATATTATCTAAATAAATTTCTTATTTTGAAATCTTTCAGCTAATCTTGCAAGCCTTCTTTCATATATACATGATACTAAATAACATAAATATTTAATTTTAATAATGATTTTCTTCAATTAAATATCAATTGGAAAGTTTTATTATTCCAACCTGATCTCTTCCAAAATCGGATTTGAATTATTTTTCAAAAATTTTTCCAATATGAGTCCACCTTCCTTATTCCTATTGGTGTATTTTTTAAATAACTAAAAATTAAAATTATTAATATATATTGTAAATACAATTAAGATAAATTATTATTATTCTTTCATTTACTAATATTTTATTTACTTTACATTCAATGACTATCCCTTTAAATTTTTCTCTTGTCTGTAACCCATTAAATGCAGTCATAAACCTTTTTTATATTGATGCTGCAATTTCGTTCCAAAAAGTCAACTTCGATCTTCTGAATCTTTTTTAATAATCATCATTCCTTTCTCTTGTTAAGTCAAATTTCTTCATCAGACCATTCGATAGTGATGGGTATTTTGAAATTGTAAAATTGTTATTTGAGAAAAATTTAAAAATTGTTAATGTGAAAGATTAAACAATTATAGAAATAAAAATGTGATAAAACTTTCCTTATATAAAATTGTATTCAAATATGTTAGCATTCAATATATTCAATAAGTTGGCAAAAAATCTAATTTTATGCAAAAGTCAAATAAATGATTTTTTAATTTTTTAGCAATTTCAAAATTTATGCAGTTTTAGCAATTGAAATTTTTAGCAATTTCAAATTTAAATTATAAATTGAATCAACAAATTAATTACCATTGATTTAACATTGATTAACATTAGGTTCGATACTAATTAATCTGAGGTTCAACACTAATTAATCCTTATAGAAATTTATTAAATAATTAGAATCAACTAAGGAGAGGCTAGATTTGTACGATATGTCTAATATATCTGATAAATAGACCCTAGCTGATATAATAATTATGTTATGCATTCGTTCTTCTGAAATTAAAGATTTACGCATATCTAATGAAGGTGTAACTAGTTATACAAAAAATCAGGGTCAACAAGATATTCCTTGAGTATTTAGATCACTTGAAAAGGATAAAAAATGAGCAAAGCAATTGTCTACATGAATTCAGTGAGCAATTTCTTCTGGACAGTTAAGAGATCTGAAAAAGCCTGGATCTACATACTTAAGTGTATTTCTGAAAAAGGATGAATTTATTCCCAAAACAGAAAGTCATGAGCTACTACTTTCTAGCTCTTTGTGTAAATTAGAATCAGTATTTGCTAGTAAAATGCATAGTCTGAAAAATCCATTAAAAGCTAACACTTATGCTAGTAAAATCCTTCGACACAGTCTTTATAACTATTCTTTCCTATCTAAGAGGTATACTATAGTCAATATACGTAAAAGAGGAGAACCAATATAATTGGACAAGGTCATTCCAAATCTCTAATGAAAACTAGCTACATATAAGGGTTAGAGATCAGGATATAATTTATTAAATTTATTTTTTCACTTGAGGTAAGATATAGTATATATAAAATATCATGAAAATGGTAACCGATCAAAATTATTCATCTGATAATACATTTAATGAGCAGGAAGTTATCAGATATATAAAGAAATTAGCCCAAATATTTGGACTAAATGAGCAAAATGCAGAAGTATGGAAAGAAAAAAAAGGGTCTGAGTCTTCTGAAGATTCTGACTCAGTTGAGATAATTGAGTAGAGGTCTCCAGAGAGACCTAGGTAAAAGATGAAAAGATTGTCCTTCATAAGTAATGAAGAAAGGCATAACTGAGAAAGATTAAAATAAAGAAAGTAAATATTTTTTCGAGAGGTTTATCCCAGAAATTTATGATCAAAGATATTAAATTTAATACATTAATAATCAAAATGAAAAGTGATCAAAAGCATCTGACAACCTTAACTAATATCCCACCTAAGTCTGCTTTATCTAAGACTAGTTCAATCAAGCTTTTCTGAATCTAGTTCATCATCTGAGAGTAGTTCATCTGAGTCTAGTTTATCATCTGTGAGTTGTTCGTCTGAATCTAGTTTCTCTGAGACTAGATTATCTGAATCCAGTTTATCCGATTCTGATGTTGATAAAATAGTAAATATAATTAAGCATCAAAGGATTCGGAAGTATATAGCCTGACAGAGAGATTAGGAGAAAAATGCATATAGCAAAAATAAGATTAATTAACTTCCTGATCACCTAACTAGTCCAGAACAGTGAATAGAGGTTTATTTTTTATATTTGAATATTATATGCTATAATAAAAAATAGTGTATTGTGTAGTCGAAGAAAATATTCCTATTTTGGCATCAAATGATATAGGCATTGATATAAATCGCATTAGCCAAAAAGATATTAGTGAGTTAGGAATTGCATATTACAATGAAAATAATAGCATTAAAATTTGAAATACATCTGATTTCATATTAGGAAAGGTTAATCTACATATCAGCTTTAATGATAACAAGAAACATAAAAGTATACCCGGTAAATTCATAGTTATTAGATCAGATTGGCTGGGACTTGATTTAATCTTAAAAGGCCCTTGGTTCTAAGAAAGTGGTGTAACTTGGAATATATGCGATTCAAAACTATTATTAGACAATAATTTTGCGATCCTATTTAAAGAAGTAAAATTTGAACCTAATGCAGAATAATGATTATCTGAAGCAGTGATTGCGTAATTTATTTTTTTGATTAAAAATATGTGTTCAGGAGAGGTCCATTAGGATATTTTTGTTGTTGTTCCATTTTATTTTTTTCAGATTCTGATGATTTTGTCACGTGAGCGAAGGTGACATTATAACATATATTATTTATGACGCTTTTAAGTATTCTTTATTTAACAGAACTATTAGAATGGATTTTACATTTCTTAGCAATAGATAAGTCACTATATTCTGCTCTATTTGTTTCCTGATTATGATACAGATGTGGTGATCCTATTCTATAGAAACGTATTAAGCTAAAGGGAAATAAAGCAAAGAACAAATCTCAATTGGAAAGATTTATGAAATTAGTACATAATGTGATATACTACTCGTGGGAAGGATGAAAACCAATTTATAGCTCGAAATTAACTCATCTTAAAATATGGCACTACTGACTTTTTAATAAAAAAATCAAAGGAATTATGCACATGTTTTCAAATGTAATTCATTTAGACTTTGAAAAGAGTACAAACTGTACAGGTAAAGTTCTAAAGCTAATAGCAGAATCATATCCAAATTTGGATTATCTCAATTAGTGATACCTGATGAAATTACTTTTCTTAATATGACAAAATTAACGAAACCGAAATGATAAAACTAGTTTTTATTAATGACAAAATTATTTTACTTAATTGCCAAAATTATATTTAACTTGATCTAAATTCCTTGAATTAAAATACATTAAAAAATATAATAATTTTATATTTATTCATATAAAAATATTAAAGAGATAAAACTTTTGACAAAACTACAACTTTTTAAAAAAGAGTTTAGGTAGGTATCACTAATCTCAATATATCTGCTTTATCTGGAAGCTTTGGATCAGAAAATGATATAGGTTTATCTGCAATCACACAATCATACCACAAACTAAATATCTAAATATTTTTTTTCACAAAGAGTTTTCTGAAATATCAATTTGTAATATTATTCATTCTTGCCTAAGGCTCTAATAATTTAATCTTAGCTATTATGTAATTACTAATATAATTATTGAAGAAATTGCTAGATCATGTCTTAATTTAAAGTATCTTGATTTGGAAGGGTATTATAATATTAGCGAAGAAGTCATAGATCAACTTATTTCACTTAACCCAAATATTCATGTTGAGAATTTCTTGGAATCTTCAGTACTCTCTGATTTTATTGAATTAGCTAAAAATTATTTTATACAGCTCAACGTTGCTAATGAGCGATTTTTAGCTCAACACCTTCAGCAACTTTTAGATCTAAATATGTAGACTAGATCAATAGTCTGGAGTGAGCTGAGATGTGTGAAGCATAATAATTAATTAGATTTTTTTTGCTAAGCCACATGCATGTACTCATATGTGATAAAAATAGGCTGATCATATAATAGGTCTATACAACACATTAATTTTTGTATATATATTCAAAAAAGAAAAGATATTAACCTTTGTTCTTTATTTTTTTCCAAATGAAAAATGTGAAAGAGCGTCTAGTTGTAATACAAGACCTTCCTTATAAGTAAATACTGACGATAAAAGCATATATTATGAAAGGCTAAGGGAGGGACTAGCAATTTTAAGATTGCTGGACTTAAAGCTAACTATAGATCTACATGTGAAAAGGTATGAAAATTTCGTTTACATGTATTTTCATAGAGCTCTTGGCATTATACGACAATGCTAATTGTGTCTTGTATTTCCTTAGCTTTTTTCCAGTAAGATATAAAGTATGTAAAAGTATGTGAAAGTTCAGCCAACCTTTCTGCAAAAAATTTCCTAGAAAATATAACACAAAATAAGATATGAATATGCCTTAAATTATGTATAGAAGTGAAATGTTTTTCTCACTATTGGCCTTATATTTAGGAAAACAAGATGATAGATACTGATTATTTAGAAGTTATTGTTAAAAATAGTAATAATAAATTTGTAGTCAGTACTTTTCAGACTTGCGGTGTCAATGGATTCAAAAAATACGTTATAGTATTCACTTTAATCTCAATAAAAATAGCGTACATCAAAAAAATCTAATGGATAGGAAGAACACACTTCTTAATTATTTTGATACTATTGATGATAGTAATCTAACAGTCATTGTACATCCCACCACCCCAAAACTCCCTCTAGCAAATAGTTAGAAATTTTTATTCACATCATGTAAAGTGATATATTTGTAATTTTTATGTATTATAAGCCGGCTTTCTGGTAATGTTTTTTTTATTTTTTAAATAAAGCATATATTATGTTCTTGTTGTAAATCTTAAAAAATGTCACATGTAATGATGTAATATAGTCACCTGACAATTCTGTATTACATCTTAATTGCATATATATTGGGCAAATGTATTATGAATCAATACAAAAAAATTCTATCCTTTCTCTCCAAGCGTTGGAAACTGAAAATACTTTTATATCTATAAACCAGCTTTACTTATAATTGCAATCAAATGCATATTTTTTCGTAAGCACAAACTTTCATATAAAACCATGTCTTCACAAGCTGCTATACCTTCTTCTCTAAACTTAATAATAGAAGAAATTTCCACTAAAACAATGTCGGATGTTGTTAAGGATTTTAATACGGAGAAGTTTATCGAATATTTGAAGAAGAAAGACTTGAAGCTCAATGAGACTCACTTTAAATTTTATGTAAAGAAGAAATAGCTGGTAGTGACTTTTTTAATACAACTAAAAAGGAATTCCAAAGTTATGATATGAAAGCTGATTCTGTAAAGAGACTTGTAAAATTTATTGAGAGTTTCGGCCAGAAGTTATGAAACTATTTCTCGCTTAAATCTCTCGATAATTTGAAGGAAATATTACATAGGAATAAAGTTAATGGGGAAGATATAATGAGTATCAAGCAGTTTACTCCTGATGAGTGATTGTTTTTCTTTTTATTCTGCTCTATAATCCATCATGTAAAATAACTTATTTTCCTTCACAGTCTTCGAGAAAATTAATGATAATGATAAGGCTTTAGTCATTGTATAGAGGATAATTTTAAAGCTTTCAAACGTGAAAATCATGACTAAGGTTGCTTGTCTAAACTCATTTTGGATTTGGCAAAATGGTAAAACCTTTAGTTTCACTAAATTTTTACTAAGTGTTTGATATAGTTTCGCCATTTTTATAAGCTTTGATATAGTTTTACCTTTTTTCAAATTTCGCAGATTTTTTAATAAGGTTTTAATATAATTTAACCAAGTTTTACTTTTACCATTTAGACATCTGTCTAAACTCTTAATTTCGTCCAGCAACATTAATCATGACCGATGCCAATGAGGTGACACGTTGTGAATTTATTTCAGCGATATTACACACGTCAATTGCTATTACTAAAAGACTTACTTCTCAAGATATTTTTATAGTATTGCAAAAGAATATTTTAGGAGAAGATTCAACCAGCCGAGTTGACTATGCAATCAAAGCTCTAGAAGACCTCTTATGTATCACCAAAGATGGGTCTACTACACAGATCCGTATTTTAAGTAGATTCAATATTAACACATTTTATTTTTCTTAGAATCTAGCTCAGCTTGAAAGTGCGTTACAAACAAATAAGAAGAAGCAGATTGCAGATCAAGCTTTTAGGAATGACTATTGTGACTAAAGGCACAGAGTGGTATTTTATCATATATACTCCTGATGGTATATATTCTATGAGTGGAAGCGAATACCAAATTAATCTCACGAAATCCGCTGTTAAAGAAAATCCAGAGTTACTTCGAAGCAATGTGAAAAGGGTAATAGGTATTATTATTAGACTGTTAAAAGATAGGGTTAGTGTTGATAGTTCTCTAACTAGTAAGAAGGCTAGAATTGAAAAAATTATAAAAAAATAATATATATTATGGAGCTAGGTCCTGAACATTTGTATTTATTTTTTGCATGTATTAATAAAATTTTTTTCTTGGCATGCATTCCAAATTGAAACGGAGGCGCATATGATTTTTTTAGGTTATGAAAACCATGACAAAATGTCACAATCAAGCCGATATAGATAAAGTAATAGATGCGAAAAATGGTATTTCATAGAACATACGTTAGGCGGTGAAAGGAAACCTTGTTCAAGTTATCAAAGCTCTTATTTGCTATATATGCAGATGAGAACATAAGGATAAGAAGATGGAGATGTGGATGCAACGTTTTATTAATTCTGAATTTTGACCTGAATACTCACGTGATTTTTGATCGTGAAGATTCTTCACAGTTGCACTTATTATGTGATAATGTAACATAATAATTGCATTTCAAATACTTGATAAATAAATGTGTATAGACGACATCATGTATTACAGGAAGCATGTAATTTATTCTCAAACTTTCCTGCATATATTCTATGTAAAGATCCTTATTATCAAATTTTTCTATTCTAAATTGGAGCATCTTGAGATCAGATATTCGTGATGCAAATTGATTCCTGAAAATTATAGGTGAATCCTTCTATATCCAGTTTGTGGAATAAAAATGAAAAAATCAAGCGATTAAATTTGCATCATCAATCGTGTGCTTGATTCTTGAAGTTTTGATACAAGGATCGAAAAATTACCTCGTGGATCCTAATAAAAGATTTCGATACAGAGGTGGAGTTGCATGAATAAGAAAACATAGAGATAAGGATTAATTGATTTATTTATTGTTATTCTTTTAACTCATTGCTATTTCTTTGCTTGCAATAGATGAATATATTCAGATATTTTTCTTCAGAAAATTGGTAAATAGCTAATATATAGATAATGAAAAAGTTAGTATTAAATAGTATGGAGCTATCATTTTATGGTTTAGAGCTCGAGATGTTTCCTCCTTTAAACATTCGCTACTCAATTATTTTTTATTAAATTAGTTTAGCTAGAGCTAACTCCAATTTTATTAATAAAAATTATGATTAATAATACAATTTTTATACGTATTATATATAATAGTTTGAATTTACATTTTACATAGACTAGCATTTTGCGTGTGTAGTTATAGTATAATATTGTTATTGAATATAAGTTATTGACTCAAAGTTAAAAATTAATCCTATCATCACGTTGCAACTTTCGAAATTTCTTATTACTAATGCAAATCCTAGTCTTTATATCTTTATAATTACTAAAAAATCTTCCTTAGCATTCCTCATATATCCTACACCTTTCTTTCTTATTGAAGTCTAAGATTTTAAGCGAATTTTCATCTGTCGAATTGATAAATATTTTTTCGTTTGCTATACAAAATTAACAGAAAATACAAATTAGATGATTCAAAGAAGTAGGAAAAATCAAATTATTAAATTTACTGGACGCAAATTGCACTCTACTGGCATATGTATAACCATAGAACTCTAGAAATTCATTCCTAGATACTAACGCATTGCTTTCTTTCATCTTTATAGTCAGATCTCGCATATCTGAATTCGTTAGAAATAATAAAATCCATTCTTCTGCTGGAACACATTTCATGGCTTTGGTAACCTTATAAAGAAATCAATTAGCCAACAATTAAATAATGCAAATGTATACCTGATTTAGATGAAGCAATTTTGTTACCTTTGTATGCTCATTATTGAATAAATCCTGGTTAATAATCATTGGTTTATTCGTATCAACACTTGTTATTTTCATTTGTTGGGCAATGCATAAGAACTTATCATTCACTATTCTAAGAAACCTGAAAATATCCCAATCTGCCCCATTAGTATTGCAGAAGGTATAGCTTATATTTTTGCTGATATCCGAATAAGGATAATCTATTTTTGTATAATTTTCATTCACTCTTTCCATATCGTCGTCATTCATTTCGTCATCGTCGTTATCCATTTTGTCATCTTCATTGTTTTCCATCTCGTCATTTTCGTCATTATCCATTTTGTCATCTTTCGTGTTGTCATTGTTATCTATTTTGTTATCTTCTGTGTCTATTTCGTTATCTTCTTTCTTGTCACCTACACCTTATTGTTATTTTATTATATCAGTGGCAATATGGTTAATGTATTACAAAAATATCTGTATAATATAATACCTGGATACCAATGTCGTAATTTACAAATTTTGAGGTCTTCCTTTTTAGGAAGGAAAACTTTAACATTCGGAAATCTACGAGAAAATTTTGCATTCTTAAAAAGTTCTCCTAAATCAATTTTCTTATATCCTAACAGACAGAAGAGACTGAGACGTAAAGCCCAGAATTTGGCATTGAACATTTCAAAGTTTTGCCAATGCATTAGCTAAAGATGAGGGACGAAACTCAAAAAAGGCAATTAATAAATAGCCGAAACTATATTAAAACATAGTGAGGGATACGACGAAACCTGATATTAGCCAAAACTATAGTAAGGGATATGATGAAATTATTTTGAGGGAGTTTCAGCTGGCATCTTTAGCATTAGCTCATCGTAGTTAATCATAGATTTTCAGTAGTCCATATTAGGGTTATTAGAAAATCGAACGAGTATATCTACCAAAATATAAGGTAATCTAACATTGTAGCGTTTTTTTTATCAAAACCAGGTTCAAAATCCCCATTTCATTAAGATCCTGATAGTTCATCAAATTATCACTGACCTTGATTGTATCCTTTTTATTAACTGACAAGCCTAATATTGCCTTTGCCAATAGTTCCGTTAGCCAATCTGATCATGAAACTAGGTGATACTTTCTTTTTACAGCGGATTTGGTATCATCCATGACGCTCACCATCTTAATTTTATTAAGTTCACCTTTTCAACTCTTTCATGAAAATTTCGTAAAAATACTCCAAAGTTTTGTGTGTCCTCCAATGTCACCAATACTTATTTGAAAATAAGGATGAAACTTGACATATTGATCATCAAATAGATTCATGGCTTTGCGGTGTAATGGAAGGGAAAGTGGTTGGTGTATAGAATCTGAAATATAATCATTTAAGGGTCCTTTAATTGTTCCAGCTAGAATAGGGATGAAAAATATGTTTGGAGGTGGTCCACACATCGACCCTCCAATGGCGTGTATAAGATTCCTACAGACATCTTTGTTTTGAATATATAATTTATTAAACTCGTTGATACCAAAGACCAGTGCCAGTAGAGGATTAGGTGTTGTTGGATTAATTTGCACAAAGTCTTTGTAAATAATTTGAAGAGCAATGTCCAGGGTAAAATATGAAATATCTGAATTATCTTGTATACAGCATGAGCGAAAGCTGGTAAAATTATAGTTCTGAGCATAATCTTTGTGTTTTGGTCGAAAGTATTCAAATAGAATACGTATTGCAAGAGATGCCTGTGCTTTCATCTTTTCATCAATATCATCAGCGATGTTTGAATTTCCGTAGGTTGTATTGATAACAATCATATTTGTGAAAGCATTATTGTGAGATTTCTCAGCTTTTTTCTTGATTAATTCTTCAACTTTGTCTAAAAATCTGCTCTTTCCAACTCCAGGTCTGCCCGCTAAGACAGGAATTGGATGAAGACCTTTGTCATTTCTATCATGATTTTCAAATCGGGTTGCGATTCCACTTAAAGTTATAAAGCCATTCCATAGGACATCAATAGTGTCATCTCTCTTAAACAATTCAAAGTCTGCATCATAAATCTTAATGAGCTGAAAAGGTCAATCTAATTAGTCAGAAAAGATAAAGACATATTACAGAAAAGATGACAAACTAGAAGACTACTCGGTCTCGGCCACAGTTCAATGTGAATGCCTATTTAATCCACTCATAGATGGAAAAAGGGTCGTTCCAGTTAGGTCCTAAAACCAATAATAAGTAAGAGAATTGTTAGAGGAATTTCTGATATCGTTCAGGCCAATAGATACTCGAAGTTATTTAACAGGAGATACTGTACCTTGTGGAACGCCTTGTTGAAAGGGACCTGCTTTAACGCGAAAAAAAAGAGATCAGACCAAACTCGATATTTTGTTACTGCAAATTTCTTGTTCGAGAGGTAAAACGTAGAGAGACACTTACAAGTAGTGGGGATTATGACGATAATGTGAACATTCTCAATTGTATCAGAAGAATGATCAGCCAGAAAATACTCTTCATTTCTAAATAATTTGTTTGTATCCATTTTCTTGCCTTCGAGTTTCGTCCTTATTTCCTCTTCAGTAGAAACACCTTCAAGTTTGTCTTTACTATTGACCTTCCAAAGACTCATACCTCTATGATTATCAATATGAGTTTCAAGCTTCTTTTTTCTCCAGATATACTCTCTGAGATCTGAGATCTTAAGTTTGCTAATTTCGACTTCAGTATTTTCAGTCTTATCTACGATTACTAGATCAGAAAGTCTAATTGTAAAAATACTGTCAGTAGTGTCGCCTAGAATAAAACAGGTTAACGAAATAACCATTTTGGTGGTATTACTATATGTGATAAAAATATTCAAGTTTTAGTTTTTTTGAGAGAAAGAAGTTTTGAAGAAACTTGAAGTTTGAGAGTATATACTGTATACCTTTATATATTTTTTTGAATACATTATGAATAGACTTTTAATAGACTCTTGCATAAACTTTTGTATAATAATAATATAGATACTTTGATAAAAAAGGTAATTTATCAGTATATGAAAAAAAATGATTCATACAGTTTTGTCATTACTCATTAGATTTTGATTCTCTGATAAAATTCTTGATATTTATTAAAAAAGTGATTGTAATTTTTAGGTCATACGAGTATTCATGATTGACCGATATTTACTAATCAACATAGCTTTTTTTACTACAAACTAGCGAGTTAGTTCTTTTTTCCCAATATCCACCACATATTTAATGCATATCAGAAGTGCAATAAGTCATACAAATGTAATTTGTCATACAGAGAATGATGATCATGATGAGTAGATTATTTTTTTATAATTTTTTTTAATAAAAAAAGTATAAATGATTGATTTGAAGATTTTTAATATATGTTTTTTTTTTGATATGGTATATTTTTCTAATTAAATTAAAAATTATGATAAGCAAATTATAATTTTAGTTAAATAATTTATCTAATAAAAAGATCTTGATATTTAAAAAGATATCAGTCAGATAATGTAATGCTTTATCATTTTTATTTAAAAAATAAGTATTTTATGATCGAAAATTATAAGGATTTAATAGTGAAATATTATATAATCTTTAATATTCTAGGATCATATTCTGATCTGTCATGAATGTTGACCTATCAAGATGAGAAATCTCAACATTATCACAGGTAGAACATCTGCTAAGAGTGACATAGGTTTGACCTACAGAGAAGATATTTTGATCTAAAGCGAGAGAAACATTTGGTAAAGTTAAGCCTTGTGTTTTGTGAACAGTCAAAGCAAAGCAGTTCTGTAGTAGATATTGAGTTCTGTGATGGTTATTTCCAAATAGTTGAAAGTGATGTGTTTGTTTATAAATAGTTGTATCTATTATCAAACTTCTTACAGAAAATGCGACTCAAACAGAATGATCGATAAGATTTAAATCCATAATAATTCCAACTGTTCCTTACAAATTCCTTGCTTAATAAAGAGTCATTAAAATACATGACACGAGCACCTGGTTGCAGTGTTGGCAAATGACCTTGAAATGACCTTGAAATGACCTCAAATGACCTCAAATGACCTCACTTTTATTATAAATTTCAAGTCAAAATGACCAAGGTCATTTGAAAAAAAAGTAAATGACCTTGAAATTTGCCATCACTGCCTGGTTGTAATCTTACAGAAGAAGGCAGATTTGTTTTACTTTTAAAAGAGCTTTCAGAAAAACAAGAATCCCACGATGTGGAATTTACTGAATCTACAGCTTGTAATATAAAGAATTTTCCTTCAGGAACAGGTAATATATTACAAATCATTCAATTAATTTGCTGAGCATTTTCTCTAAAGTCGACAATATTAGTAGTATTGAGAAGTGTATCGATTGCTGAACGTGATAAAAATTCAGAATGTTTTTGATTGAGTATCTGCCATGTTTCAGCAGATATATTACCCATTCGAACTTCTTGTAATATTTGATAGAATCTGCCGTTAGATTGTTGATATTGTGGAGTCATTAAGAATAAGGGATAGAATAAAATTCAGGTCATTGAACGAAATACAGGTTGACCTGTAATAAGCGGTAATTGAGCAAGGTCACCTACTACAATCAAATTTATTCTACCAAATGTGATAGTATTATTATTGAGATTAGCAAAAAGATTAGATATAAAATCAAAGAGCTGTACTGAAACCATTAAAATTTCTTCGATGATGATAGTATCAATTGTTTTTAATGATTTATTAATTCTTTATCGATATATACACCTGTACAAAAGTTATCATAATTTGAAATAATCTGCAATGCAGAATGGATAGTTCTTCCTCCCACATTTTGGGCGGCAACACCAGTAGGAGTCAGGAGAAGATATTTAGATTTTTTCTATTTAAGAGTATTTATCAGCAGGTTTATGATATATGATTTACCTGTTCCTGCAGAACTTGTAATAAAATAATATGCCCATTTGATACCATCATTTGGGCTGAAATATGAAAAGATTGTTAATAAGATATAATACTGATCTTCTGGTAGATCAAGTATAGCAGTTTCAGGTAATAAGTGAAGAAGTATCTTGATATTTTCCAATTGTAATCTTATAATATCCTGAATTGTTGTTGGGAGTTCTTGGTGTAATGATTGTAGCAATCTGTCTAGCATTTCAGCAAATTGATTATTAAGATAAGTGATATGTGAGTAATGGTTATTTGTGGTTTAGATCTGTAAGGTCACCAAGAAATCAGGAAATAATAACAAAATTTTTTGTTGATATGTTCCATTAGGTCCTATTCTATATTCAGATTCATCTCTTGCGGGTATGGTAAGAAGAAGTTTCTGATAGAAGTATAATTCAGCATCTTGAAGTTTAAGAAAATGATATCTCATTATTATTTCTTTAGATCATTTTACAACATAATTATTCAATTTATCATAATAGATTGATTGATTAGTTAAAAGTCTTGAAGGAGAGATCAAATATCTTTCAAAATATTGAGGATAAGTAAGTGGATCAAATTCAGGAGAGATAGGTCATGCCATATATTTGGTTATAGTATCGTCATAATAAGGGTTTTCATCTTCTTTATGTATCTAATAGATAGGAAGCACTAGACGAGATCTTGTATTAGGAGGTTCAGTGATGAGGAATTTTACAGTATTTGATGAATTACAGATTTGATGACCTAAAAGCAAAAACATCAATTCTATAGAGCTGAACCTTCATGTGATCACATGTTCTCTTAATGTGTCTCCATCTTGTATGTTAAATATATAAGAGGATTCTCTTTTAACAATATATTTTACCATATATCGAGCGAACCATCTATCAGTTATATACTGAATATTCATATGAGCATCCCATAATAAGAGAATAGCATGATAATAAGGAACTACCCATGAATCTGCATCAGTCAAACATTTATAAATATAATGGGAGACTCCTTTTTGATAATGAGTTGTTTGACTATAAGGACACAGAAAACCTTTTTTACACGTCTAATCTTGTGGTGTAAGACCTTCACATCTATGATTGCAAGTATGTATTTAATTAGCTGTCACAGAAGTATATAATTCAGGCTCATATAAAGGATTAGGTATTGTTGAGCGGATGATATCATTTGCAATCATATCTGAAATAGAATTATCAGTCCAATAACAGCTATAAGTATGTGTTGCACCCCTATTTTGAAATTCAACTCAATCAAAAAAATCTGTGATCTTGCCAAATCCTGTGAGTTCAGGTTTTTTATACAATTTCTTTTTTAGAGATTGAAATCTGTAAACAAAATAATTTGCACAATAATAAGGTCTATTTGTTGATAATGGATCATTATTATCTGTATTAATGAGTATATTATGAATGTGAGTCTAACGTTCTTCAGCCATGGTTAAGGTTATGAATAATGATGGTAGACCAAATTTTTTTAGCATTGCGTTAAGGTGAAGTTGTTTGTGATGAAAGTAAGTATTTCCTATACGTATAAAGTAGGCAGGGAAATTGTTTTAGTTTCATCTAATCTCAGATATCTATTATATTCACTAGATTAGAGTAATTGTCTTGCGGTAGGAAGATTGTTTATATTAGGATTGATATTATTTTGTCTTAAGAGTCATTGAGTATTTTGATGATGTCTCAATTTCTCTAATTGTAGGTATGACCAAGAAGGCCAATGATGATGAAGCCTCCATCGTGGATTATAATTCATTAATCGTTATCTGATATTTACCATAAGTTTCTTCTCTCATATCATCATTTGTGATGTCTGATTGATTTAATATATCATGAAAGTGACATTTTCCATTTGTAAATAGATCAATTAGGATTATATGTAGCAATAGGAATACATAATGTATCACTTTTACGGATGAATCCTACCATTAATCTAGAGTAATAGAAGTCTTCATTGTGAAATTCATCTGGAAAGTTCAAATTGGGAACTATGATATCCTGAGTGTTTACAGGTAGGATATCAAGATCAGTAGGAAGATGTGTTACCCTTGAAAATGGTTGATTTCTTGCTGTATTTTCTTCATCGCGTGATGTTAATATGCTAGCATAAAGTTAAAGGTATAGATTATTATTCGCTAACCAAGCTGCAGCATATTTTAAAATTTGATCATGAATCAGATCATCATCTAGATGTCTTGAGGCAGTTGATTGATTAATATCGTTTGGTTGATCTATGAATGCGTCTAAAATTCCAAAATATAATGCATGCACTCTAATGTTACGAGAGTAATTTATTGATCCAGTCAAGCATCTATATTCTGAGAAGGGGTTGCTATTTGGAGTCCTTTTTAATGAACAGTATAAATAAACTGATAAGAGATGCTTCCTCTTATGTAAAGAAACTGAGAGGATTTCTTGTGGTATAGGGGATAAATAAGGGAACGTGAATCTTATAGTAGGCTTCTTGCATGATTCGCAGGTAGGTATTCTTAATTCAGGAATGCAATTGGTATTTGAGTTGAATGATAAGGTAATGTTTGGAATGCATTGTTCTAATGGATAGGTGATAGATGGGTTGTAAAAGATCCATGAAGCTTTTTCTGAATACAGGAGCCTTCCGCAATAAATGCAAGTGATCTGAGAATATTGTTTCAAAATGGTATTTTGAAATCTGTCATAGAGTCTTTGCAGTATAATCGATGGTCTCCAATATGTGATGATTGTATTTGAATGCTGAGGGGTGGTTGGTGTAATGTGGGCTGAAGTGGATCCAAGTGGAAGGATGTTAGGATTACTTGGTGTGATAGATGTTGTGATTCAATCGAATGTCATTTCGTATTCATTATCGAAGATGTAAATTAAGTTGATTTGATGAAACATGATGAAGAGATTTGAAATAAAAAAAGGCAATTTTTTAATTAATAAAGTTTTTTTTTACTTACAGTAAAATACTAAGAACGTAATTAAAAGGGATCGATCAATCGTATTCACTTCATTAACAACTTTGTAAACAATCATAAGATTGTGAAATCAGGTTAAAATGATGATTAATATTTAATTATAAAGTTAATTATAAGTACATTTTTTTATTTTATTTATTTTATTTAAGATTAATACAAAAAAAAATTTTTATAAATTTTTTTTATTATTTAAATTTGAAGGGTTTTAAACGATATACATAGTGGTGAAATAAAATTTTATCGTAGTAAAATTATTTCGCGAAGTGTAATTAATCAATGAATTTTTTATTTTATGTAAAAAAAATTAAATAAAAAAAAATGCTGTTTATAGTTTCTCGTAAATATCTTAATTTTAAATATTTTTTAATTTTTAATAAATTTTTACTTTTTCATATTTTTTTCAAAATTATAAGTTATGAAAAAAATAAATAAATAAATCTGAGAAAAAACTTTACAGATGTTGAATTCTCTTTTAAAATAAAAAATCTACAAAAAAAAAAAATATACTTATACTTTTTTTTTTTTTAAATAATAATAAAAAAAAACTGTGTATCTTTTAATCGTCTGGCTTAGTTTAAATGATCAAACCTTTTTAGAGTCAGAATTAATATCAGAATTCAAATCAATTATATTTATAAATTGGATAAATTTTAAAACTCATCTCGATTTGCTTAGTTATTCGGTAAAATATATGCGAAAAAAAAGTGAGTCAGATTTTTTTTAATAAAAATATTAATTTATATTATATATTTTTGTTTTTTTTAAAAAAAAAAACAAACAAACTACAATATATAGTTCAATTTTAAAAATAATTTTTTTATTATTATCTTTAGGCAGGATAAATTTCGAGTCTATTTGTGAATAAATGATTTTGATTTTTTTTGTATAGAATCATTAGTGGGATATTTTTTGTTCGTCTGATGGTAATGTCACTGTGGAATTAATATCGATAGGAATCGGGTTCGCATTAATGATTGTCTCTAAAGTTGGTCTAGATTTGATATTATTATCTTTTATGGTTATTGTCGTGGCAGTGGTGGTGGTCATCATGTTCATTCGTGATAAAGTTTGTCGACCTCTTCTAGGTCTTATAGTGGTAGAAGTTAGAAATTGAGTAGCCCTTTTGTTACTCCGATTAGGATTAGTATTTGACTACGGCAAGTTAAATGATCTGTTATTAGTGCGATTTTGGTTCGAGATCATCGGGATCAATAAAATATCATCAAGGTCGATAATATGCTTTCCCAAGGACGATTCCTCACCTAAGAAAGCGTCGAGAGTTTGTTGAACATAACTTATGATACTAACTAAGAGAGTAGTTATCGATCTTATGCTTTAGTTGATCGCGTTCATCTTGTTTGCAAGGTAGGTATTATTTGAGTCATGATAAACTTCTACCCAGTAGTTATGGAGTTCTCTTTCTCTAAACCACTCTTCTACGTAGAAATCCAAAGTAGACTTACCATCAACATTTCTTATCACTTGCATCATTTTTTCCATCACAATGACGTTTATTCCAGTTATTGACATATTGTCAAAGTTGAAATAAACGACTTTTATACAAGTCGCGTTCACTTATTTGAAATGTAAGTATGTTTAAATATTAATTTTTTATACATCCAGATTATACAAAAGATCACAAAAATAAAAGTTTTATTACTGTGTACCAATTAGGACATCTGATAAATTTTCCTTTTAGGTAAACAGTGTCACCCACTTCAAAGTCATCTATTTTATGATGTATTGTTTCGTCTATAGGGGTAAAAGCCTTTATCTGTAAGTAGATCACTTTAGTAAGATCCATTTCAGACATTTTCACGACACCAGTAACTTCTTTGATAATAAAATCTTAGGCAACACTCTCTCTAGAGTCGTATATATAACAAAATGTCTCAAGTTTTGAAGGCATTTTGAAAGTAAAAGGTAAGTGAAAATTTTTTATTTTTTTTGAGAAAAATGTAATTTTTACTTTTTTTTTAAAACGAAAAAAAAAAGCAAATTTTTTTTTAAAAAAAAGGACTTTTTCAGATGGGTTAAAATATAAGTTTTATTTTTAATTTAAATTTTATTTTTTTTCTATCATAGTAAATAATCTGATTAATCAAAAAAATTTTTTTCTTTTCATAATATATATCGCAATATCTAATTATTGATTGAGTCAAAATTGTTGATTGAGTCAAAGAATCAAATCAATAAGAGATAATTGCAAAAAAATAAATTTATTATTAACTTTGCGATTGTCTCGTTGATTAATTGATTGTTTCGTTAATTAATTGCATTGAGCTTGCCTAAATAAATAATTAAACACGTTTACTACAGTATAAATAAAGAGAAAAAAAAAATAAGAAAATTTTTTTTTTATTTAAAGGACTTGGATTCATTAGGATGGGAAGGTGGGTGTTACTCAATTAGTTATTACGATTAGAACTAAAGGTTGAGTATCGTTCTTCTTGAATGATTAGATAATCTAACTACTTACTCTGAAGACTAAGAAATGTAATATCAGAAGGATATTTTTTCCTAACACAGAGCAGTAGATCGGACCATAAGAGAGTATTTGTTGCAAATGTTTTGATGATCCATGTCGACCAAATTTTAATTATTTTTAACGAATTAATGAATCAGCGAATTCGGGAATGACAATTTTATCATCTTACGATTTTCCCAATTATGAATAAAACACCCTCAGAAATCTTTACTACGATAATAATTAATCATATGAAACATGGTATAATAATTTATAAAAAAATTTTATAAAAAATATTAAAAATATTAAAAAATACAGTATTAATCTTTTTTTGGTAAATATTACGACGATCAATTTCAGACCAATAAAATTAATCATTTATGTGATATTTCAATCACAAATTTCAACCAATAATATCGCTAGAAAATCGAATGTCTGCAAGTGTTCAGTGTATTTTCATTCTTTCTTTCTAGCCATAAATGTCTTCTTCCAATCCTTTTCCATCTTTAGAAAATAATATTCAGTTGCTCAGAACCTCATTAAATGTTCTTATTTAATTTTTTATTATTTCTCTAATAAATCATGCCTTCAATACGCATTTTGTAGCTTACCTTCTTTATTTTAGGCAATATATGGTCGTACGAGCAATATAATTGAACATAGAAGCGCTCCAAGGTAATAAATTCTTTTGATGATTTTAGTTCAATTCGATATGATAATATTAAGTATTCTTTTATTACAGTCATCAGCAAACGAGTTATGAACCCTCAAAAGAAGATTTAGATGCTTTAGAATCAATGAAAACGCAATTTCATGCAGTATGTGATGAACTTTATCTCAATTTGGTAAGTAAATACAGTAATTTTTTATTTAATCTTTTTAATTTAAAAAATTTATGATTTGGACGCGTTATTTATTTATCGTTCAGCAAAATGCCAAAAAGGTTCTTCTACGAGATTACCACGAAAATTATAAGGATTTAATACTTGAGAACAAACAAAGGGAAGAAATTAATGCGGAAAGAATGAGAATTCAAAATGAAAAAATTGCATCATTGGGAAAAGTTTTAGAAGTAGATAAATTACCAGCTCAAGATGTTTCATCTGAGATAGTTAAAATGGATGAATCTTGACATGATTGGATGGCATGTAGTTTTGCAAATACAATCATAGCTTATTATTTAAGGGTTTTAAAGAAATTAATCCCGGAAGTTTTGAAAGAAAAAAAATCTAAAATTTTCTATACTACTGAAAGACTTGATAATGTGGCCTGTGTCTCAATGACCTATAAAATATATAGATAAATACGTTATTTTATAAATTATTAATCAAAAAAAAATAAAAAAATATAGTCATATTATAAATATAGACCTCAATCGCCTGCTTAATTTCCAAATGGTTTCTGGCAGCTTTGATCCAATCTTCTGCCAATTTCTTTGGCCATCCTTTTAATTGATTTAATTCTCTCGTTGCAGTATCTAAATCATTTTCGTTAAGATGATATTGAACTCTAGCAAGAATTGATTCAACATCACTCCCTTCCGCAAGTCCATGCTTTTGGAATAAAATCTTTGAAAACATAATGGATAGAAGGTGAGCGAACACCCCACCATTTTCAGGAACTAAAGACGCACGTCGTACTTCTTCTCTTACGGTTGCAAACCGAGCCGATAAATCTGATATGGAATCCACTCCATTATTTGCAACATTATCATCGATCGTAGACAATACAGTTGTTACAATTTCATCGGTTGAAGATAAATGTCTCATAGCAGCAATCTGATTAGAAAAAGGAATTCGATCAGGTTGTTCGACTGCGTTTTGTAAAGCTCTTAACGTACACCATAATCTATGAGTTTTTAGACTATCATCCAAATGTTCAGCATTATCTACACTTATACGTTCAAGCATCTTAAGATGATGGTTAATGTTGTCTAGCCTAGCTAAACGTCCACCGCGCTCTTTTTCAACCATAAATTTAACGTCTCGAATCCACCTTCGTTGTAATTCAACAGATTGTTTAACAAGCTCATTTTTCAATTCTTCGTTGTTTCTAGCAGATTCACGAGCGAGTTCACTTTTAAACTGTTCATAAATACGTTTCTTTTCATCTTCAAATTGTTGCTTTAGTTCTCCTTCTTTTGAAACATATAGCTGATTATATTTTTCGTTTTGTTCGGCCATATGGGCTTGACTTCTTACTTGATCTTCAATTTTAAGAAGATCAATACGAGTACCAAGTTCTTTTAATTCTTCCTTTGCTCTTTTAATAAGATCGTCTTTATCCTTAACATCATAATTATCAAGAATGTCAATGAGTTCATTTAGAGTATAAGCAAGTTTAAGAAGAATAGGATCTTCAGGTAGTTCTATTTGTCTTTCCTTAATTTCCTTAACAATTTCTATGGGAACTTTTACGATATCCGGTTGTTTGAAAATTTGATTCACCCTATTTATAACATCCTTACCCTTATCATAAGTATTATTTTTAAATTGTTTTACATTCTTTCCAATTTGTTCAAAAGTTCCTTGCCTCTGAAGATCTTCAACATATTCAACAGATTTTTCGGCTCCGTAAATATATTCAACAAAAGCATCACGAAAATCTTCATTTTTAAGTGAGTAATATATAGCACCACCATAAGCTATACCACCAAAGATTGTTATACCTAAAATGAATTTGCCAAATCCAAATCCTTTTTTCTTTGCAAGTTCTTCTTTAACAACATTATTGGTTTTGAGCTCTCCTTTAACAGTTTCAATTGGGGGAGCACCTTTAAAAGGAGTGGCCTCGTTAGTAGTAGCTTTAGAAATATCCGAAGTCGACTTCGAAGTTGTTTCGGTACTATAAATTCTCTATAGTTGGTTTAGTTGGTTAACAGTGTTTAAAAAAAACATTATCACCAACAACTTTTTTTAAAAAAACTATATTATGCGTTGTAAAAAGTAAAAATAAATAAATAAAATATCAAAAGAAACCTTTCTAGTTTGCAAGAAATGCTGTCGTCTCATAACATTCGAGGAAAACAAATTTGCAGGCCTCACACGGGTAGCTTGCCGTATAGCTCCCAACATACTTAAATAATGATACTTAAAAAAGAAATATAATTATTTATTCCTTCGTAAATTTGATATTGACTATAAATACTATCTATAGATGATGCATACATAGCATTTTTCGAAATTCGATAGATTATAAAAATGAAAAAAAAAAATCTTTTTTTGATAATAATGTAACAATGCAGTGTAACATTTCTCGAAAAAATCCCACAGAAAGTAGGATCGGATTGTTCACGTAATTGAGTAATTAATAATTAAGTTCCGCAATGATGATGATATTAAACCAAGGAAACGACTCATCCATCACGCGGGCGAAACGGTTTCGGGAACCGTCCCGTTTAAAAATTGAGTTGATACGTGGGGCTTCGTCATTAGAAAAAGCATTAAACATAATAAATTAAGCTTCGCTTCTCTTCGACTAATTAGCAGCCTATAATCTTTAGGTAGAATTATAAATTTTATAAATAGAATAAAAAAATGTATCTAAAAGGGGATTCGGATTAGGTTTATATTTATTATATTTTTTAGCAAATCGCACAAATGCGTTAACCATTGTTGCCATTCTCGTTTTGCGAAAATTGATTTTCTATCGGTACACCTAAATTTCCAATGTTTCCAAAAGAATATTTCCAAAGAAATAATTCTAAAAATAACATGTTATTTACGTATTAAAAGAGCCATTTTACTTTTGAACTTTAGCTATTCAACAATTGTGTTATATATATAACGAATTGTTTCACGTATTGATTATTTATTTTTGGGGGCAATGTTACTACCAAAAATCGGTCTAAAATTCGAACCAATCTCAACCGAGATCGGATGGATCGGATCATCATTCATAGATTTTCGACACAGATATCGCGACACTTTTTTTTTATTTTCTAGATTTTACAGGTTCTACTCTTTATAAAAGACTAATCAGAATGAACGGGATATTCTCCAAGGATACCATTAAGGTATATTTTAAATTTTAAAACTTTTTTTTATTAATTATTTGTAATAACGAAGAAACATATACGATACATATTAGATCACCGCGGAAACTGTTGGAGTTACAAACTTAAAAGACACGGTAGCTGCCGCGTTAGCACACGATGTGGAATATAGAGTCCACGAGATAATACAGGTGGTTTGCGTTTTCCAAATCGCCAAGTGTTCCGCAAAAAAATTATAAACTTAAACTATTACGGAAATATGCTTCGAACAGGAAGCGAACAAATTCATGCGTCATTCAAAACGAACCAGACTTACGGGGGAAGATATCAATAATGCTTTACGTGTTCGTAACGTAGATGTAAGTGTTATTATTATTATTATTATTTTATTTTGACAATTTAAAAACTATTACTTACATTATAATTTTTATTAATAGCCGTTATACGGTTTTAGTCTGAATGACAATTCAAAATTCCAACGTATCACGACTAATCAACACGACCTCTTTTATGTTGAAGATGATGAATGGGAATTCGAAAATGTTATTAATTCAGCAATGCCCAGAGTTCCTACCGATGTTTCTTTTAGCGGTTAGTACATTTCTATATTGTCAAAATTGTTTCAAAAACAAAAAATTTATTTTAACATTTTCGTCATTTTTAAAGCTCATTGGATTGCGGTAGATGGTGTACAACCTTCAATACCTAATAATCCAGTTCCAACTCCACCACTTGAAGAAGGTAATAAAATTCAAATGAATTTAAAGATTCATTGCTACTTTAATAATTATTGATTTTTTCTTTTCAATAAGCATCCAAAGCAGAAGTGCGCAAAAAGAACATACCTAAAAGTGATGATTTGCAAATTAAAGCTGGATTACCTGTTACAAATAATATTGAGGTTAAACCTTTAGTACAACATGTTTTATCCATGGAACATCAAATGTTTTATGAAAAAGTTACAAAGGCTATGAGAAGTGAAGAATTCAAAGATACAAAAACCAAAATCGCGGTTCTACATAGTCTAGAACATGACACAGGATTAGCTCAACTCCTTCCGTATTTCATACATTTTATTTGTGAACAGGTAAGTTCCCCTTCAATTGATCATTCCTGAACAAGGAATTCTAATAAAAAATATATCATTATAGATTGGAATACATGTAAAAAAAAATTTCCATGTTTTAGAGCCAATGTTAAAAATGGCAGAAGCTTTGATTAATAATAAAAGCCTTTTTTTGGAACCCCATGTAAGAATTATAATATCTTGCTCTTATTTGTTACTTATAACAAACTTGTACTTATTTGTAATTATATTGTAGCTGCATAATTTGATGCCAGCAATATTAACTTGTGTAGTTAGAAGAAAGTTGGGATTATCAATGAGCGATAAACATTGGTCCTTACGTGAATTGGGTGCACGTATCCTTGCCAAAATATGTGATCGTTATGGTGGAAGTTATAATGATCTTCAGCCTCGAATCACGAGAAATTTAATGAGTAGTTTTATGGACACTAGTAAATCATTATTCACTCATTATGGATGTATAGTTGCCATGGGTGCTTTAGGTCGTGAAGTAATCAGATCTATTTTAGTTCCAAATTTGAAAACATATGGCGATTTGCTTTCAACTTATGCAAATGATCCTGATCAAATAAAACGTGATGCCGCTAATAGATGTTATAAAACTATTGTGGTATGTTATATAATACATGAATATTTTTATGACAATTATGGTTGCAATATTTTTAATGCGTTATTTATTTATAGGACATACTGGCAAAACTAAAAAAAACTGTAGATCCCCTGATTGATATTGAACTGCAAGAAACTCCAAATTTACATGAAAGACTAGAAAACAAAATAGGAAAATTTTTCGCGGATGGTGTATTAAGACAAATCGGCGATGATCATATCATTATGGCGATAATTAATTCTTAAGTTGTTATACAAATTTTGTAAATTATATTTATTTGCAAGTTATACATAATAAATTCTTTGGATTTATACAAAGTTTTCAAATTTATTTTATTTTTATTTTTTGTTTTTATTTACTTTGTTTTTTTTTTTTTTTTTTTTTTTTTTAAAAAAAAAAAAAAAAGAATAATTATTAAATATTTAATTTATATTAATTATTTGATTTATTTCATCTCCATAACAATTACCTACAAAATAATTATAATGATTATATTTTATGATTTATAATATAATAAATAACGGCTTAGGATTTTACTTACGTTGCCGTTTGCCAAACTAAACGCTATTTTAGAGCTTAATGTGTCCCAATGAAGTCGGTATATTGGTGAATCTGTTCTATATGAAATTTTAGTTTCAAAACTCTAAAATCAATAAAGTTTTTGTTAGAACTTAAAAGAATAAAATTAACAAGATAAAAAAAATTTTTTTTGTTATATTCACTTTAGCATCAATAATCAACAAAGTTTGATCATACGACCCTAGAGCTAGAAATGCTCCGTTCGGACTAAATTCGAGTGTAGATACAATAGCTTGATTGTTTTTCAACTCCTTAAGTTTTTTACCATTCTCTGTGTCCCATATCGTCACTTTATGATCTTTTGTAGCACTAAAAATAGAAATAAAATCGTCGCTAATTACGATTAAGAACATAACAATTATGTTTATTAAATGTCGTACTTACGTAGCAAGAATATAACCTGTTTCTTTTTTCTTGCTAGTCGTCTTTAAATTGGACCAAGCTAAACCATGTACTTCACTTTCATGATTAAGTGAACCTATTTCCTTTTTATTTTCTTTCCAAATCTTTTAATAAGGTAAATTTATAATTAATTCAAATAATTTTTTTTATATATAATAATATAAACACACCTTAACCGTAGAATCTGACGAGCCGCTTGCCAAGTAAGTCTTACTATTATCGTAGGCCAAACATTTGACAGGACCTTTATGACCAGTTAGTGTTTTAATAGGATTTTCTTGATTAATGGTATAAACCAATATATTGTTTTTTGTACTTGCAACAAATGATTCATCACTAGACCATGCAATGTCATATACAACTACAAATACAAGTATAATTTAAATCAGAAATGATTTGTTTTATTTAAAAAAGTTCAAATTTAAAATACTAACTTTCGTGCTTATACTGCCCAACAGTGTTTCCACGCTTATCAGTACAAATGCTAAATCCATCTTGAGTAACAGTAAGTAAATGTTCGCCCTTTGGGCTCCATTTAATCGTTAAAACTGAATTTTGACGAGAACTACTACGCAAAGCCCCTATAAATAATAATTAACATCTAATTTAATATTACACGTATTTTCAAATACTTTTAGTTATTCATACATACCTTTAGAATTATAAATACAAAATAACCCATCCGAATATGCAATAGCTATTGTATTAGCCTCAGTTGGCTAATGAATAAATTAACTATTTTAAATCATGTCTTATAGAATTTAAACAAAGGATGAAACTTATTGTCTACCCACGTTCCAATCTAGACAACAAACAGATTCTGAAGACTTATTAAACAAATGTTTAATGAGTGTGGGTTGCGTATTGTTTTTTTGCCAATTAGAAATATTCCAGATTCGCAAAGTGCCGTCTGAACCACTAAATAAAAAGTAAAAAAATTCTCAACATTATAATTGATATTCATTGATTCATTGTCTTAAATATTCACCATGTTGCTAAGACATTAGTGTCTTTTGGATTCCATGCGCATAAAAACACATCTTCGTTGTGTCCTTTTAATTCTATAATGTTATAAGAGGATGCCCCTGAAATCGCCTGGTTGGCTGAAGAGTATATTAAAATGAGCATATATATATATATATTATATATTATGTGCTAGTATGCTAAATTAAACGGATCTTTTTACCATTGTTACGTATGAGTTCAATTTCCATTTCACGATCTCTTTCTTTAATTCTTTTTCGATCTCTCATACGTTCATCTTTTTTACGATCTTTTCCTCTAGTACGATCTTTTTCTTTTTTTTGTTCTCTCTCCTTATTATGTTGTTGTTCTTCATCAATATGTTTGATTTCTTCTTCCTCGGTTGAAGATTCGTATTTACGCTTTTTATCATTATTTTGATTTAAATTATTATCATTGTTCTCATTGATTTGATTTGTTTCATTAACATCAGTTATCTCATTGATAGAATTTTGACCTATAGATGATGTTGAATTCGATATACAACGGTGTTTATGTATTAAATGTAGAGGAGCATTACATTTAATTGTAGATTCATCCTAAAAATAGAAATTTTTATTATCGTTTGAATTTAAATCATATTCAAATTAATATATAAAAGTAAATATATTGTTGTTTACGGGTTGTGCATGTAACTCCATATCCATATAAAAAAGTCCCTTATATATTATCTTTACAAGTAATCCAGCTTCTATATCTTTTTCGGAAATATTTTTTCTGTGGGCGGCTTCTTCAACCTTAGCCTCCATGTTAAAAACCGTAGGAGAGAAATTAAAACCTTTTTAATATATTATAAATGATAAGTATCTCTAATTTACAACTAGAAACCAAGTATGGTATGAACTAATGACAAACCCGATTCTTGAAGATATTTATAAATTAGAATATTAATGTCGTCTGAAGTGACCTGGACATTCATTTTTGTATTTACGATATTTTGTTAACGGTAAACTTTTTTAAAATAACCACCCGCGACATCTTTTGTCTATCATTTATGTATTAAATACAGTTGTCACATATTATGTCACATACCATAAATAAATTATTTGTCACACCTTTGTGTTTCATTGTTGACATGTAATCAATTGGTTTTTTTGGTTGTGATTATTCAATATAATTATGTCACTGGTCTATTATCACTTAAAATTAACTGTCATGTGATCGTTTGGCGTTCATTTCCAAAATAGATGTAAATTATGATTGGCAAATTTGATTAAATTAATTTTTTTGATGAAATAAATATTACCAAACTTATATTCAATTTTAATTATATATTTTTTTTTTTTTACCTATATATAATTTTCTTTAGATAAAAATTTTTATTCTTAATTCTTTTTGATTATAAATTCATTATTTTTTTAAAAATATTTTTAATTATATCTTAAAAATATAAATATGAAATTTAATTTATTTAAACAAATTTTTTATAATATTTAAATCAATTATCTTTTTTATTAAATATATTACTCTTTTTTAAAACTTAATAAATTTGATTATTATTATATATATCAATTAAAGAAAAATTTTTTTTATATTATTATTATATTATTTAATTAATTAATTAATAATTTTAAAACAATATATTTACTTATTATAAAAAATCTAATTTTAATCATAAATTTAAAATAATAGTTTAATAAATAAAATATAATTTAATAATTTTTTTATTTAAAAGAAAATGAATATTATATAGCTATTTATGAAGTTATACTATTTATCCAGAATTAGAAATTTTATATATATTAAATAAAATTAAACTATACTTATACTAACTTTAGATTAATTATTATAATATACTGATTATACTAATTGTATTAATCATTATACTAATAGTATACTTTCTAATCTAAGATTGATAAAGTTTAAGTCCTAAATCATCAGATCCTTATCCTATATAAGAGTCCTATAGTACTTAATCCTAAATTTAAGACTTAGTCCAAAACTGGTTCAATAAATTTTTTAATTAGTATTTAATCATAAAATCTATTTAAATTTGCTATAACAAATAAAAATTAACAAAATTTTTTAAAAAACTTTATTCTTAATTAATTATAGTAATTATAGTATAAATTTTTATGTAAATTAAAACTATTTTTTTATTGTAAGAAAAAAAATTTTTTTTTAAATTTTATCATTATTAAATATTAGGAAACAGAATCTGTTCAAAGTTTGAAGCATAGTATATAAATTATAATATCATATTTTACATGATTAATTATTTTGTAACATAAAAGACATAACACGTGATAATGTAAACAAAGTGTTATTGGTCTATCAGACTTGCTGAATTTGAACGAACAGAATGATCTTGCATTTAAATAACCTAAAAGTAAAATGTCCTCCACTATGCTTCGAATAATAATTTCTTACTATTTATATTTCAGATATTATCAAAATTTGAAAATAATGCATTTTTGAATTAATATTATAAATATAACAAATAATCTGAAAATGTTTAAATTCATACTTCTTTACCTTCAAAATCATATTTTGTTTATATTTAATTATAAATAGATATAAATCAATACTGACATGTAAATTATAATATTATTGGTGTTTCTCTTTTGAGTGTTTATTTAACATATTATAATGATCTATCTGGATTTTTATAATATAATTTTATTTTTTTTTAAAAAAAAAAACCATTTATTAATAATAAGAAAACTGATAAAAATTTTAAAAAAAATCATTTATTTAACATTATTAATAAATTTAAATTCAATTAATCTTGTAAAACTAGCTAATCATATATAATATGTAACACAATAAATTTTCATATTTATTCTTTATATAAACTTTCATTTAAAATGAATATTAAAATGAATGGTTCTTTTAATTTTTACCTTTTGGATTTTAATAATAAGAAAGATTTTGAATATCATGATAATGATAAAAATAAAAATCTTGATTTAAATAAAACCTTGAAGATAAAAATAAAGAGGATGATATGTTAATAACTTTATTTTCATATTATAAAAGAATATCTAAAGTATTGAAATTTTTAATAAAAAAACATTAAAATACTTGAAATTATCTATTTGTAAAAAATGTAATAAAAAGTTTAGTATATATACAGAAATACTAACTTTTAAATGTCATTTGAATAATAAATATAATATTAAAATTCACAAGTCATAACCAATCAAACCAAATTTTTTTCTTTTATATTGATCTATAACCAGTTAAAGAACAATAAAAACATGATGATATATTAGTAATATAGATAATTACTAATCAACAATCTTTTCATATTATAGAAAATAAAGAATTTATTGTAGTATTCAATAAATTTGATTTATATTATATTGTTTAATCATTATCAAATAAAAAATAAGGTTATATTACTGAATTATGTTATTCTAGAATTATTAATGATCTTAAATATATTCCTGATAAAATATCATTAACTTTAAATATATAAATATTAACTTTAACAATAGGATTATATTTGGGTTTATCCATTTATTATATAGATAATAAATAAGTTTTGAATCATTTTTTATTAGATATAATATTATTTAAAGTAAGATATATTATAAACGAATCTACAAAGTGATCTACATAATTGATCTATTTTTAATGATTTATAAAATATTTTATATATACATTATTAAAATATTGATATTGTTAATATAGTTAATATAGTTGACATATTTGATATATTTAATTTATTTAACATTTGAAATTAACCTCATTATGATGATCATCAGTAACTTATGAAATAATGATATACAGTCAAACCTTGATATAGCGAAACCTTGATATAGTGAATTTTTAAATCAAATATATTAAAATTACCTTACTATAGTGAACTAGCAAATTAAATTCTTTAAAAAATTCGTTATAAGCTTATAATAAAGTTAATATCCAGATCCTAGAATTCGTTATATTAAGAGTTCATTGTAATAAGTTTATCAAATACTATATTAAATGATTAACAAAAATCCTGATTTTCCTGATCAGTCTGATAAATCTGATAAATCTTATATTTCTAACCTTATTAATATTTATTATTTTACTTATATTCATTATTTTCATTATATTTATTATATTTATTATCTTACTTATATTTATTATATTTTATATATTAATACTTGTAGTTAAAAATTTATTTAGTTTGTAATATAATGAATAGTTAGCTATAATAAATTAATTTTATATAAATAGAATAACTTTTTGCTCAAATTGTAAATTAACTTTCTTATAAGTTTTATAACCTTTTGCAAGTTTCAAATAATAAATAAAGGAATTAACTTTAAAATATTAATTATTTTTCTCTTCTACATATTCATTATCTAAGATTTGATTATGAATTACTATATTAACTTATTATTGAGTTTGTCACTTAAAATAAATAAAACTTTTAAGTTTATCTTAAGTCCTTAAACCTATAAGTTCATAAAGTTAAGTAAAGTAATTCTAAGAAATTCTGAATATCTATGTGAAATTTCCTAAGGTTTTAAAGTCTAACTTAAACAAAATATATAAAAGAGAATTATTCTCAGTAATAATATGTAATATATTTAATTAGTGATATCTAATGAAATTACCTTTATTAATATGATAAAACTAATAAACTAAAATGACAAAACTAGTCTTTTATTAATAATAAAACTATTTTACTTAATTACCAAAATTATATTTAATTTGATTTAAATTCCTTGATAATAATTTTATATTTATTTATATAAAAATATTAAAAAGACAACCCCTTTTAATGAGCTTACAATTTTTCAAAAAAAAGTTTAGGCAAGTATTACTATATTTAATATAGTTTATTTATTTAATATAGTTAATTTATTATATGCATTTCAAAATATATAAATACAGTAGCTTAGAATTTATATAAAAGAGTAAAATTCAATAGGTTGTATGAAATTAAAAAATCTCAAAACATCTTAAGTAGCTATATACTTCTTTCTTCATGAAATTATTTTTTTCTTATTTTATTTTATTTTTTTATTTTTTTTATTTTTTATTTTTTTTCTTATATTATTATTAATAAACTCTTTTCATTTTTACTTTTACATCTTCGTGAATTTTATTGATATATCAATCTTTGTGAAAATACAAATTTTTATAATATATTAATTTTTGTAAAACTAGTAAAATTACTATATAAATTAAAAAGAATTACTACATAAATATTTTGTCTGATTATAGTAATTATATATAAAGTCAAAATATATCATTTCAGATATCTAAAATAGTCAAAATTAAAGATGGCACTGTAATTAAGAAGTTGCAACTCGGTAACTCCTTGCAAAATTTATTTTAATATAAAAATTTATAAATAGTTGCAACTAGCTAAAAATTTTAAAATTAATTACAGCTCCATCTTTAGTCAAAATAACTAAAATCATTTTTTTTGATACTTTTACTAGACATGCGTTAGTAGTGTAATCCGAATGATCTTTAAGAAATGAAAGTGTTCACAGTAATGAAGAAATGAAATAATAGATCATTAGCCCATAATGACATGCGTAACCTTTTAAACTAGAAACTCCAAATAGGTACTTCAAGAAGAAACTAGTCAAAGGCTAAGTATAAAGATATAGTAATAATTTAAGAACAATATAATTATATTCTCTATATTTCTTTATATATATATATATTATAGTTAAAGGACTATTGCATAGCGATTAGGTAGTCATTACTCAATTATTACAACAAAATTATATAGAGAATATGAGGGAATTATTACATAGTTTTTATGCAATAGATAGCAATTTAGTATAAAAATTTCATT